ACAAGCGAAAAGAACGACAGAAGGACCAAACTGACTAATAAAAACCTAAACTCGGGGGAAAAAACTAACAAATCAACAAAGAAAAAGATAACAAAAATGGGACAAACAACTGTAGATCTTGCATGATGGACTTATGGGAAAGAATGAGGAAGATTTTGTGTTTGAGAATATATGTATACCGCAAATAATGCTTCGTTTAATTTGTTTTTACCATTTTGAATAAAAAAAATCATGTTTAGTCAATGTGTTTGCAATTTTACTTTATGTATGAATTTTCAACTTGTCATGTTATCGACATTGGAGATAATATAATGTGACATCGTTGCACAAATGATTATAATATCGGTTCCTTGTACACTATAAAAAAGATTCATAATTGAGATAGTAATGTACATAACTATTGGTATGATTATATATAGTATAATTTGAGATTAATTTATCTTGAATAATGGATTATACTAGTATACATCGTGTGTATTGAAATGGACCACGAAGGAGATGTTTATATTGTACTGACCCAATAAATAAACCAGACCTCATGATATCACTCATACTCTAAATGCGGATGATCATACCGGGCACTTGTGATTAGTAATTATTTCTTTAATTAATCAAAGAGTGAGGCTTATTCGTTAATCGATGTGCTCCGTGAGATGAGAAGTATTATACGTGATGAGTTGTTGATCTTTAGGGGATACCATACTGGGTCGAATAGACCCGATCAATTAGCCAACTGAGTCGGGTAAACTGGTTGGTCCAATGGAGCTACAGACAGGTCAAACAGAGATCGAAGGAGCTACAGAGGAAAGAGTCCTTCAAGTCAACGAGGACGTTGCAAGTCCAAAGGAGCACTGGAAGGTCAAGCTAAGGCCCTTGGGTGGGCCGGTTGAAGCCTGACATGAAAGAATGATTGTTTGATAAATCAACCAGAATAGCAAAATATACGAGCTTAGCTCAAGCGACACTCCACCTCAAGTTGAATCATGTCAGTCGCACGATTAGACCGTCTAATAAGGCAGACTAATTGATAAGAATAAATATTATTAAGTTAAGAACTACACGTGGATAGACTAAGTGACCTAAGAGAATTGGGTAGTTTTGGTAGTTTAAACAGTACGGATGGACAATTCGGGAAGCTCACACGAGCAGTTTTGGGCAACAAGGTAACACACTCTTATATATAGGTGTGAGGTGTGTACATTGAAATGTTACATTCTCTACATCGTCTATACTTACAGAGCCTTAAACTATTGTTCATCGTTTTGAGTTATAATAATAATTACCCGTGTTTTTGGAAAAAAAAAGAGTCCTTAATACACGACGACTCGTGTACTAATATTCAATCTATACTTATATAAAAAACCATCTCATTTACTAGAATTAGTAGGAAGAAAAGTCAACTCATAATCAATTGCACGCCATATT